GACGGGAAAATATGCTGCAGTCTTCAACAGGTATGACAGAATACAACCAACTGAATAGACAGATCTCTAAATGCATGCGCGATATTGAGGAAGCGATTGAGCGGAACCAAGACTCCAAAGTCTTTACCAGAAATCTGTCCTGCCAGATAGAGCCAACTATCGAAATTGAAGACCGAATGTGGTAGTAGGTACCGTTTCCGGGACACCTGAGGTTTTGAGTGATATTGAGAGCTTCTACGATTAGCTGTACTCGTTATCTTTGAAGTCACACGCAAGTGTGAGTAACGATCCAAGACCAAGTCGCATCCGACACTATTCCGATGATATCCCGGACGTCAGTCTGACAGAGATTAAAATGGCTCTCCAGCATATAGATGTCCCAACTTGGAAAAATTACGACTCAAGTTAACTCGAGTTGAAATTCACGCAACTCGAGTTAGCAATACGAAACAGAATAAATGATTTGTTACAAATTACTTTTTATATATTTGTTTTTCTATCTAGCTCTTTGGTGGGTTGGGATAACTATAATTACCAAACTTATTATGTAGGATTGAAATAAAAAGGTATATTTAGTATGTATTATATATTTTTGGTTTTAATCTTAGTAATAGTAAGTACATGTATTTAATAACAAAACTAGCTATATAACAGTCTTACGATACAATATTAGTCTAGCTTTAACATGTAGGTACATAAGCTATTAATAGTTTAACTATCACAGTCAAAATATTCTTAAATAAATTAAAATTTTTTCAAATTCAAAATATTTATTGAAGTTAAGTGTTACATTTGGCGTTAATTTAAAATATGATGATCTTACAACTTAACCACCCTTTTCGGGTATTACAATAATAGGTGCGAGTTACATAACTATATTGATCATAACTAATCAAAATTATAAAAGAAATTAAATTACATAACTTAGCTATTATAACATTCTAAATAAATTGTTTTGGTTGTAGCTAAATACTGTTTGAAACACAAAGCGCGCGCACAACGAACGAATCGCGCTCTTACTCTTACTGGCTCACTTGATCCGTTCATGTACAGTTGGATCTCCCTAACTCCAGTTTGAGTTAGGGAGATTCAGCTGCCTCCCCCCCCCCCCCGAACGGGCTCCCGCCTTGTCTTGTCTTGTGTAGCCGTGGCTTGGTCAGCCGCGGTGAACAAAGAGGAACCCCTTGGTTGGCCTGTGGTGTAGGGCCGGCCCGAGGTGGCCATTCCGAGTGGAGCTTGGACTTGGCGAGCCCACTTCGGATGTGTGTCGGTAGGCTGCGGTGAGAGGGCTGTCCTCTTCCCCTACCGCTGCAGCCGAGGTGGAGTCGCGGAGGAAGAGGAGTGTTGGTATGGCGATGCGCCACTCGCCCTATCCTCCGCGACTCAGACGTGGCCGCACCGTTGAGGCGGTGGTGGTGGGGCCGTGGGGGGAGAGGAGTGTCGGTATTGCGAGACGCCGCTCTCCCTACCCTCCGGCCCTCCGCGGCCGAAACTTGGTTGGCGGCGGAGCCAGAGACCAGATCCGCCGCTGGGGTCGGGAAAGCGGGTGCTACTAAGCGCTTGATTTTCCTGGCCCCATGGCCACCGCGTATCGGACTTGGGGGGGTCCGATACGTAGGTGGAGTTGGAGGCCGTGGAGGGGGGCGTGCCTTGTGTTCTTGGTGCGCCTTGCCTGAGAAGGAGAATGGGGAGGAGAGATCCTCCCCCGAGAAGGGGCTGCCATGGGGCGGCCGGCGCTGGTGGGGCCGTGGATGTGTTCGAAAGCGTTCCCATGGCCTTGCCAACATGTAGTGAAGGTGGAACACCATAGGGTTTTAGTCGGTGCGAGTCCGACATAACCCGTCCTTGGTCCGAGGCGGGTATGCGTAGGCATTTCCCGATGTAAAAAAAGGGAGATCCAACTGGAGTTAACTCGAGTTAAGCGCAACTCGAGTTAACTCGAGTTAGTAACTCATCCCAGTAGTACCCATCACTACTCCAGCACCTTAAAAACGGCAAGGCCCCAAGTGAGTGTGGAAGTTGTTAAAGTTTTAAGAAACAACAATTATTTTTATAAGTACTACGTGTTCAGTGATGTGTGTTTTCTTGATATATACCTATAGCAACGTGGACGAAGTCGCGGGTATCAGCTAGTTGTTTTATGACTTTATTCATTTTTAATTATACGAAAGACTTGCATATTTTCGTCAGGAGTGCCCCAAAACTTAAAAAAGTCTGATTATTATTATTAAAAAGAGATTGTACGGCCAGTACTGTGATCACATATGGATTTCTTTGGTGATTCTTCACTGTAGGCCGAATGAGGAAACTCAAGGTCGCTCAGCGAGCTATAGAGATGACTATGCTCAGAATTTCTTTGCGTGATAGACATAGGAATGAGGATGTCGGCAGTAGAACCAGATTAACTAACATAACGCACATCGCGTAAAAATTCACGGTACCATCCTCACCATCTGGATGCTTGGCGTTCCACGACTGTGCGTTTTACTAGGAGTTTTCTTCCTCGTACAGCTTCTCTGTGGAAATGTTTACCACCGGCGATTTTTGCGGACCGATACGACTTAGAGACCTTCAAGAAAAGAGCTTACACCTTTCTAAAAGGCCGGCAACGCATCTACAATTCTCCTGATGTTGCGGTTGTTCATGGGCGGCGGTAGTCACTAACCATTGTAGTGTTATACTACTTACGTATCTTTTTACATTATTTTAAATTCATTTTTCCATTCTGTTTCGATTTTCTGCATTCACCTCAAAACTGGATATTTTACATCACCTTTATTTCCATAGGATCCTGTAACGATTTTAAACCATAAGAACACAATAACAAATCATTTCTACTTCGTATTTTCACATTATCAGCACTTTTAAATTGGTGTCAATGGAGTCTACCTTTTTTCGATCTTTTAGCTAGTTTTCCGTAACTCTACAATCTTGGACTTTGTGTGGGCAGTTGCGCTACCTTTTTTCCTATATCAATAATATCTCATTTTCCACTTAAACCTTATAGTTTTCTTATTATAAACCTAAAACAAAAATTTGACATGTTTTGTCTTTCTTATTTATATCGTTTCCATGGTAATTATATTCAAATTTGCTACCGATCTATTATTCCTATTTCGATAATTCCACATAAATCCTCTTTTCTCTTGACCATTTACAAAAAATTTGCGTATAATTTAAATAATTTTTCCGTTCTCTCTAGAAAGGTATAAAAGCCGAACAATCGGTGAAGAAAGGCAGTCTCGCTTCAGTTCGCGAATTAGAAGTATCTCCTAAAGGCCTTATCCCGGGGCCGCACTGCCCCGGGATCCTGCAAGCCTCCATTTACACGTGAAGTATTCGGCGAAGCCTTCTTCAAACTCGGGCCGCGCCACTCCGGAATCCTACAAGCCTCCATCTACCTCGGAAGTCGCTTCGAGTCTACTACAAGCGCGGGGGCCACACTACTCCGGGCACTACTACTACTTACTCCAGGCGCCGAGTGCACCTACCGCCGGCGCTACCTTTGGGCGCTGCAACTGCTGGCTCTAAGCGTTGCGCGCCCCTTCTCCAGGCGCTACGTGCGCCGGCTCCGGACGCTGCGTGTACTGGCTCCAGGCGCTGCGCGCCGTCGCTGCTAAGAAACCCACTTCTACAAGCGCAAACGGCGTGTGCTGGCTTCAGGCGCTGCGTGCCGTCGCTGCTAAGAAACCTACTTCTACAAACGCAACGTGTGTCGCTTCGACTTTTAGGCCCCACTTCAACGCTATATTCCCCTATTCTCTCACCTTATTTTTTTTATAATCTAATTGTACTCTCACTTCATACATCATCATCCTCATTTCATTTTTTTTATAAAATTGTAAATACCTTTTATAAATTTAAATATATTGTTTTCTGGCTCTACTTTTGTTGTTTTGTTGTACTTAGGTTAGGTTCTATTTCTATTTTTTTTTAATTGTCGCTTCACGACACCATCAGGTGAGCCGCATGCTCGTTTGCCCCCTCTTCTATAAAAAAAAAACGTAGCCCAACGTATCAGTAAGCTGAAGTGGCAACGGGCCGACCATATAGATCGAAGAACAGACAAACGTTGGGGAAGAAATGCTCTCGAGTGGCAACAATGTACCGGTAATCGAAGTGTAATACGACCCCCCACTAGGTGGAATGACGACTTGGTAAAAGATGCAGGAAGTCGATGGATGCAGGTGGTTTAGGAGGTCATAGTCGGATTGGACTCGAACCCTGTTTATAAGAATTCAACTTTTATATTCATACATTTTGTGTTTTAATGAAAATTTTATAATTTTACAAAAAAAGGGACAATTTGAGTTTCTTTTGTATAATAACCACACAGATATCGTATTAAATTCGGTGTAATTTGCAATAACGTGTATTGTGGCATTTTTGTATTTTAATACTGTTTCTCAAAAAAGATATAGAAAATATTATCTTTCTGAGAGAACGTTGTTTATGGTAAAATATATTATTATTATAAGTCCTCCATAATCCAACTAGACATCTACGATCACAGCAGGCCGGCGCGAGCGCATTTCACCGCCCCCCGGCGCCCTGCGTCACTTGGCACAAGCTTCGCGCTGAATATCGCTGAAAGTCTGAACGGGTAAACCGCGCCACAGCGCCAGTACCCCTCCGACCAGCAATGCTGTGCTGTCTCCGGAAATAGAGTACGTCCGATATATGCGGTGTCGCGAACCGTCGCCGCGGCCTACTCCACGACGCCATTCAAATTGCGGTTAATTATAGAGCAATTGTTAAGTTGCATTTTTGCCTAAATAATACGTTTTATGACAATATCCCTACTTGTCTTTATTAATCGCAGTTTGAAAGTGGCTTTACTCGAGTTGCATTCCTGCGAATACAAGTCGCGTTAAGCCACAGTGACGTCCTATCATTTAGTGTTGATAGATGTGAATTATATCCTCAGATCGATCGATCAGGTGCGCGAGTGTGAGTGCAAATGACTGGCAGCTCGGTCTAGCGGGCCAAACTCTGAAACAATGTGGACCAAGAGATTAAAGTTATGGAGGTTTATGTTGTGCATTTTGTTCGCCGTGTCTGCGCTCGCGCTCGCGGCGAGAGGTAAGTCCGAGCAATGATAGAGCGGGAACGCTCTGCGTCACCGCACCGATGCTATTTTTGGAGAAACATGCGCCGAAATTATGTAAAAAGCATTCTGTGCGCTATTTTTGGCAAAACCTTAAGTGAAAATTTGTGACAAATAGTAAGTACCTAGATTTAACGTGCACCTCTAAACGGTGCGAAGGTCGAAACATTAATTGCAGCTCAGCGCAAACAAGTCGCCAACGCTTTATGTCAGTTCAGCAAAGCTACGCAAATAGAAATACAGGGATTTGTCGTTATGCGTCGCCATCTTGTGAAAAACGATAGGATCGTGACGACATAATAAAAATGAGACACGGAAATAGGTCACATCATATTTTTAAAAATGCCCTTCATTTGAAGGGCACATGTTATGTTACTTAAGAGGCAGCGTTAATATTTCATACATTTAAAGAGAGTTTTAAATTTTGGAGGAAAAACCGGAAGAACTCTCATATAAATCTTATATTATGATATAGCATTAGTGCTAATAAAGCAGGTAGAAAGTACTTATATCGTTTTAACGATATATTGATTTTACGATCGCAATAATGTTAAGGTGTTTAAGTTTCATAAAATTTTCTATTTATCTACTTTGACCTTTTACTGCTTTTATATTAATTAATTAATACTTAATATAAACGATTTGTATTCGTTGAAATACAAGTACTGCATTCATTCATTCAAAACTAGAGGTATTCTTGTAGCATATTACCCAGCTCACAAATTTAGAATATTTAAAATAGGTTGCTAAGTCAATGACAAACGATCTTGCGCTGTTTGCGGTGATTAAAACGAGAGCATGTGTGAAGGTTAATTTTTACGTAAGTATAAATCTCACTTCTGATTGAATTTAAAACTTTTATGTTAAGTGTTAAAATGCTAAACTCCTGAACTATGCTAAAGTTTCCGGTAGCAACACTTGGCAAACAATCTAACAGCTGCAACAATTTATACAAAATAGTAGTCCAGTCACTTTAGCATAAAAAAGGGGTCAACCTCGGAATGAGTGATAATAAGCAAAATTTTCGAATATACCTTTATTTTGGGGTTCTAAAAGTTGTCTCAAAAATCTCATAAAATCTCGGGTCTGCGTCGTAAGTTATTCAAGGTCAAAGATAAAAAACAGTTTTTCGCGATTATCTCATTTTCTATTGCTCCAATGATGTTAATTATCGATTATAAAAATTGTAGAGCATAAAATTTGCGTCAAATTTTATTTCAAACATTTTTTCATGCGCTCATGGACTGTAGGTATTTATTTTACAATATTACCTAGACAAAAAAAAGTTTATCGGTTCTGAACACAATCATTTGAAAGTAGGTAATAGAAATTGTCACTGCTTTCAAAAGTATGGAAAATATTCTAACTCAGCGTATACTTCCTAATTCAATGTAAATTTACGAAAATTAGCAGATAACTTATTATAAAATGTTATATTTTAGTTTACTATTTTGTGCTTGAATATAAAAGCTTGAGTTCAAAACGCAAGCTTTCTCACGGTACCTATCCATCTTTTCCTCCGGGTCGTAAAAAAAAGCGCAATATTTTTTTCAAACGTGTTTGAAACGTGTGTGGGAGAGACCATAGTTTTTTGAAAAAAAAAATATTTTTAACTAGCTATCAATATACTAAAATATAAATTATAGATAAAATCAATGTAATGGTCACTTCACTCATACTTATAACGTTACATTTTCTGGATTTGGTTCTAAGTTTTGAAATAGAAAATCTTTTAATTTTTAACGAAAAAAAGAAATACTTTAATATCAAGTAAAACCAAACCTAGTTTGATACTTAACATTATATTATGTTTTAATCTGTGATTAATTCATCTTACAGCTGTCCTACGTTGTAATTACAGTGTATTAAATAACTTTCTTTTTCAGCTATTTTCAACGCAAATAACACGGCAGCAAGGTCTGAGATGACGTTATACTTTGTTTTCGTGACCTAGAGAGCTTATAATTGTTACGGCCGCGTCGACACGGTCGACTATATATTAAATTAGTTTTTAAATATCAGTTCAATATACATAATATCGAAAAAATAGCGGGTAGCGGATAATATCGAAAAAATTAACGTAAAGTCCGGTCTTGTAATGCCCAACCTCTCTCGCTTCGGGTTTGAGATGTGCAAAACCCTCTAAGAAAAGAGAGAAGGCTTGTGGCCAGCCGTGATACAGGATGACGGGATAAAAAAAAAACAAATATCTGTAGTATTATAATCTCTATATATAATGAATGTTTTACAACCGATATTTCAAGTTGATATTATATGAAAATATCTCCTCGTCCTCATAAGGTTGTAAACAGTCCTCTGAGGTAACTCTATCATAATTAGGGGACCTCTATCATAATAAGGCGAGGGGGGAGCTTGTTAAGCTCTTGTTGCTCTTGTCTTCAACGCTTTCCAAGCGGATTTCGAATAAATATGCAATAATATGATTGGCGATCGCAGCATGGGGGAGTTTTGAAACTTGGATACTGCTCACTTCCTGCGTGGTCGTCAATTTGTGGGGACTGTCATACGTTCTGCTTATCTATACGAGTCGAGAATCTTTTTTCTCGATAGAGAAGTACGGCCCATTGCTACTATAGCTTACTGGTGTGCCGGGATATTATGTCGGTTACCTGGGTTGTACTGCGGATATCTTCGTTATAAATTATATCACGCAAGAAACTCCGAGAATAACTCTCGTAACATAGCTCGCTGAGCGAATTTCAGCTTTATCATACGGCCAGAAGTAATGGAACACAAATCTTTGATTGTACACTTTTGTTTAAGGATTTGATTATTCCCAAAATTACAACATTTATTTAGTTAACTTTGCAATTTTTACTTTTGAAACTAATACATTCAGTCAAAGCTAATCTTAGTTATCCGGGCGCACCGGGCGGAAAATTTGAGTTCCCGCCTTGACTAATCCCACCTGATTGTAAGTGATGATTTAGCCTCAGATTGTAATCCGGGTTAGCTATAACATCAGATGATTCGTGGGTAAAGTTGCCGCAAGAACTCTTGTGTACCTACTCTACATTTATCAGCTCGTTAACTCTTATTAAATCTGAAAATATGAATATATGTATAAACTTACTCTTGCTCCTTTTAGTCTAATTTTTATTACTATTATAAAATAATATAAAGTTTTCTATAGAAACGATTCTTAAGGAAATGTAGAATTAAATTAAAATAGCCATGTTAATAATTAAAAATGTTACAGAATAAATAATTCTTACGTCGCTAATATTATTCATAAAAAAATCGATTCTGGCAACTTACGGCTTGACGGCTCGATGGATCTTGTATACAGAACTAGATCTGTATACAGAACATTCTGCAAACTTTCTCAAACTTGTGTGGGTGGTATAATTCGACTGAGCGATTCGTTTATGTGACGGGGGCAAACAGTCGTTTTAATAATTCCTAAATCTTAAACTCTACTATTCAAGTCAATTACGAAAACTCTCAAAAACAACTAAATAAAACTAGTTTTTACGGATTTTATCGCGTATATTAGCTTATTTTATATTCCCGACTTTTCGAGCACTTTACAGCACCCTTTGTGTATAATTAAATGCATATTAAAATCTAACTCATAGAAGAAGTCCTGTGAGTATCGCAAGAGGCGACAGGGGGAAAATGAAACAGGAGATGGACAGCAGCATCTTCCTGATAACGTGGTGACAACTATGACAAAATCACGGCTATAGTTCTATAGTGCATGGATAGGGCTATAAATTGGTAAAGAAACACGATTTTATTTTTTTAAAGGACTAATATTTTGCACAAGGTTAAAGCTTATTAAAATAATATTTCTTAAAACATCCCTAAACCGTAAGTATTTTTGTAAAATAGTTCCCATCCTACAAAGCTTGTAGAAAGTTTATGCGATTTTTATTACGAGATATCTCTATCATTATTTTGGCCATATAGTGTCTTTAATTATTTGATATAAATTTAACTATAAAATATATTAAAACATATAATTAATGAATACATATTATTAAAAGATATTAATTATTAGTTAAACAAGAGAGTAGCGACTATTGCAGATACAGCAGCAAAAAAAGACTTAAAGATAAAAAATAACTTTGAATTAAAAAGGAATCATAATATACAATAATTATAACACGCTATGTATTAAAGTGCATGCATGAAATTAAAATGGTTAATTTAAAATAATGATTAGAACATTGCGAACTATTGCTGTTCTGTGTTTTAATGTATTGCTAGAAATTAATCTAGTTAAATAAATAATAATATTGATTTCAAAAAAAGTATATACAGTATACAAATCTGATGAACACGTAAGTGAGTGAAAAAGAGTATTGTGTAATATGTTTAAAACTGACGTCACTATACAATATTGTACTTGGTACTCTTTAACTAGTTACTAAATGGAAATTAATTTTATTTTCAGCTGACGATGACGACGTACCTTTAGAATCACAGTGCCGTCCATACGTCGAGAAAGCTCTAAAAGAGCTTGAATCTGGGGATACAGAAACAGGTATGATATTTTTCTGAATTTTAAACGATAACTGTAACCTCTTTTAATCTAACCATTTCATGTGACCTGCATTTTTAATAACTGACGTCTTTTAAATAATCTATACAAATAAACAAAATTGAAGTGTCTGTTTGTAATGTTACAGTTTTTTTTTTAATTTTTGTCTGTTTGTTCTGTCTGTCTGTCTGTTTGTTAAGGCTAATCTCCGAAACGGCTGGACCGACTTTGACGGGACTTTCACTGCCAGATAGCTGATATCATAAGGAGTAATTTAGGCTACTTTTATTTTAGAAAAAGAATTAGGGTTCCGCGCAAAACTTAAAAACCCTAACACGCGAGCGAAGGCGCGGGGAACAGCTAGTAATTAATATTTATTAAAGGATACCAGCATAATATAATATAGTTCTCACTTTTCATAGTCCCCATATGCAAGAACATGTAACTAAAAAGGGGTACTTTCATGATAAAAAGTCATAGTGGAATATTCCTAAAGAAAGTCTGCCATAAGTTTGAGTTATTTCTAAAATAAAAAGCATAATTTGTTATGAAACTACTTATGAATGTTCGATACGAGCTAGCTCCAATAAAATTGTTAATTGCAATTTTAAGTGCGGATTTACCACGTGCTCGTCGATGAAAGAAACCACCGTGAGGAAACATACATGTCTTAGGAATAAAATATTTCTAAGACATGAGAAGTTCGTCAACACTGGAGCAGTGCGGTGAACTAAATGGCTTCATATCTGTCTCATAAATGAAAGGAGCCTACTTAGCCTATCTAGCATTAGGTCGTGGGCTTTTTTTTACTTCATTTAATAAGGGCGACAAACGAGTAGAGAGTCCACCTGAAGATAAGTAGATGATGCCCATAGACATCTACATTTATCAATAATATCAATTAAGAATCAAAATACAGATGCGTTGTCACCCTTGCGGACTAAGATGGGAATGCCTCGTTTCCAGTAAAAAGGGTCTCCGGGTTTCTACACTTACCATACGAAACACAACAGCGTTAAGCTGCTATTTTACGCTGGTAATTTGTGAATGGGGGTCTTTCCCCGGTCGAGCCGACCCATTCATGCTACAACCATAATATAGGTGCAGCGTGGCTCTACCATCCATATGCATTACTTTACTTCATTTAATACACCTGTACACATATTACATTACTTGCATATCCAATAAAATACATGTTACATTCCAGTCTAAATTACATTCTTCTACTTTATCAGCCCTTAACATTCTACTTCTTATATCTACTATTATTTATTCTATGATTCTACTACGAGACCTGGGGCTCTTTCATTTTAGGAACGATTTGCCTTGCCAGATGGATTGGCTATCACAGCACTAGATGTCTGACATCTAGTGCTGTGTGTCGCGGTTTGGTTTGGGCTATGGTATATAAATATATATAAATTAAATTGAAATGTCTGTTTGTAATGTCAAAATAACAGCTTTTTACTAAATGCGTATGAAAGTATATTATACGGAATTAATAAAAAAAAAGTTGTCTGTCTGTCTGCCTGTTTGTTCCGGCTAATCTCCGAAACGGCCGGACCAATTTTGACGGTACTTTCATTGGCAGACAGTTGATGTTATAAGGAGTAGCTTAGGATACATTGCTTTTAGAAAAAGAATAAGGTTGCCGCGCAAAAAAAAACACCATGAAATCGTAGTAAATCCCTCGTGGGCGAAGTCGCGAGGCACAGCTCGTCTGTGATATAGTCGCTGCTTTCGATACCTATGGGACTAAGTGACTTTGCTATATTACACTTTTTCACAATTTTCCATATTCCATAATTTATTCCTTTATATAGTTTAATCAACCTATATTAAATGTAAAATGGACTTTAATGAAAAAATATCTACCAATTCGGCAGATCACAAATCACCACACACCCACGAGGTTAAGTTAAAATCAAAATACTAAGTTTTGGTACAAAGTTCAAATTTTCTCATCTTTTTAAAAAACTTCAAAAAAATAGAAGGTCCAATATTTGAAGTGTGTGTCTTTTATTGAAGCTCACCGATTTCTCGTAAACGCATCTATAATTATCGATTGAAGATCAAAGGGCGGTTGGACTAAGATGAAATGCCTTGTTATCAGTCAAAAAGATTTTTGATACTAGTCTAAGTTACACCAACTCGTTATATCAATACATCAGCATTGTGTATGTACTATTTTACGCTGGTATTGGGTAGCCTTTATTAGGGTTATTATGGAGTATTTAATACTGCTAGCAGTATTGAGGCTGTGTCTTTAAGTTTCAAATTATCAAATTAGGTTTTGTAAGCACGTTTAAAAAATGTTTTTCATGCTAAGTCAGTATATTTCATATGGAACCTCAAATTTTTATAAGATTCATATATCTACTAGATTGTTTTTATCGATAGAAACATGTGATTGAATAAACCTTCATTTTAACTGTGTAGTGGCGATGTAAGAATATCTACTTTTTTTATAGAAGAGGGGGCAAATGAGCATGCGGCTCACCTGATGGTAAGTGACTACCGCCCATGAACAACCGCAACACCAGCGTTGCCGGCCTTTTAGAAAGGTGTAAGCTCTTTTCTTGAAGGTCCCTAAGTCGTATCATCGTAACGTAGTATTAAATGTGTGCGCATGTGAACTATTAGTGGAAACAATGCAACATGTGTTCCGATGGTGATGTTATCAAGATTTGTCTGTTTAGGCGTACTATCGTCATTGAATATCTGCTAGCTTAAGCTTCCGTTAAAATCTCCCAATAATTTCGCAATTTGACACATAAACATATCATGGAGAAGTCTTTTACAAATTATTCTAAACCTTAATTTACAGAAGTACAACAGTACGAGTCCATTACTAAACAAAGAAAGAAGCTAAGCTTCTGGCTAACCTTTCCTTTCAGCTTTGAAAACTGGATCTAACCACTGTGATGAACACTTCAAATTGTGCATAGCATCCACTTCTTATCGCAGATAACAGTTCGTTTCCCTCCTTTTAAGGGTTCCGTACCCAAAGAGTAACCAACGGAACCCTCTTACTAAGCCTCCGCTGTCCACTCATTCGTCCGTCCGTCCGTCTGTTTGTCAGCGGGCTGAATCTCATGGTCCGTAATAGGTAAGCAGTTGAAAATTACACATAATGTATGCGAGACTTGGTTTTTTTTTTTACAAGTTATGTTTTTGATGGCATAAGTTAAATATCCTGAAGTATTGGGTTTACGTTCATATTGATGACATAAATACGACTTATATTTTCGATGAAAAATATGTTTACCAGAACATCATGTTAAACAGGATCCTATCCCACTGTGGGATTAACATACTATAGCATTGAATACTATTTTCGAGTGAAGCTTTCGATAATATGTACATATTTTGGTCACACAACTATTTTTATATCGTAGAACGGTATGATTATATATGAAATTGTTGTTTTATAATAATAATAATAATTTTATTCAGACTCAGTCCATAGAGATGTTAGTTTAACAATAATAATAAACCTAGCAAGCTAACAGCATAGCAAAGTGGCGAAGCAATCAGCTTTGTAGCAGTTTCTAACGGTTGCCGTTGAGCAATCAGTTTCAAAATAGGAGGTTCAGATGCCTGGGTGATCAGTAATCGATTGCTGAAAACAGAATTTGAAAATTCAAAACCGTTCTCGAGATAATCGTGGGACAGACGGACAGACATCGTGAAATCAATAAGTGACTTCGCAAGCTTCGCCACTTAATAATAATAAATTTTTAATAATTTAGTAATAGTTTTGGTAAAGTCGTAAATAACAATTATAACGGCTTACTAATGAACCTGAAGACCGATACCTGATACTGGTACTAGTACATTGTATGTACAGGTATAAATAGGTGCCTGTTTTTTACAATACGCAGTTGTGATAATAAAATTAAAACGTGTAAAAAAACAGCTCTATATACTTATTTTACTATTCTATTCCAACGCTAATTCATATAATGTTTCACCGTTTGCCCAGCTTTGACCGTCAAGCGCCATTTTTGTCACTGAGCAAACTCGTTGGCAAACGCTGAGCAATTTTTTCCAGTCGTGACGCTACTGTCTATCAGTCACTTGGAATGATTTAGACTTCGCTAAATTTAGAAGAGTAGTAATGCTACTATTTTTGTTGCTAGATGCTCGCTAAATATTTAATTAATACAAACTTGTTCCGGAATAAACTTTGCAAAACGAAGCAATTACGAAATCAAGCCGGTGTCTGTCACGGTCTTGATAATCGGCGACTATTTCGCCGGCGAGGAGATTATCGCAAGTTAATATAACTATATAATTTATTTTTCAAGGACACTTTACAAAATTTTTGTAAGTTTGTAGTCCGTTATACATTTTATTTGCAAAACATAAAATGCTGAAAAACTGTTCACCGCCGTATCTTCGAAATTATTGCTTAGAAAAATCTTGAGACCAAGGAAGATTACTAGAGTCACGTTTTTTTTATGAATGTTGCTTTCTAATACTTTTTGGTGATAACGCTTATAATTACTGGCGTCCTTATCATAAAAGGATATTCTAGAAAAAAAAGTAAAGACTAAAAAAATAAAGCACAATCAAAAAATTTACTTGTAAGTCCAATACGAAATTGACTGATATTTTTTTGTTTTTCTTTTTGTTTTCTTTATTCATTTTTGTTTTCATATTGCCATGCATGTACTAACGAAAGATTCCGAACTACAAATACATCATAATTATAAATTAAACTCTGTCTTAAGTCATGATTCTTAAGTTTAATAAATTCATTATTTAAGTTCTTATTTGATACTTTTTCTATTTTTATTTTTTCTCGTTTGTTTAAATTACTAACTAATAAGACTTATTAATCGTTATAAGTATTGAAAACTGGTCTTCTTTTATATAATTTCCAATCATTTCTTTAATATGTGAATAAGTGGACATATACGTGTTAGAGCCATACTGCATGCTGCCATATTGTATTATTGGTTGTAGTACAAATGGGTGGGCTCGACCGGGGAAGGATC